TTTAGAGAAAGCTGAGGATGCGGTGAGGTTGGGACTTTGTGGGGCCCACCACGGGCCAACAACTTTACCGGGGCCCGGGGCTGTTCTAAACTAGAGGTGGGAATCGGGGTGGAGCCAGTTAGAATCCAACTTAACAAGCCCACCGTGATCTTAGGATATCATAACAGACTTCTTATAAAAGTGTAAAATTGAGGGGGAAAAAACTTTCAATGAACAAAAACATCATTAATCTTTTTTGAATATTATATTATGATCCTCTCCTAATTAACAAAAATGTCTTTAATATCTATTATTATCTTATATTAATTAGTAGAAATATCTTCAGTGGGATAGAAATTATACATAATTGTGCTAGAGCTTATCAATTTACACCATGAGAAAAAAATACAAAAAACAATCTCAAAATTCGAAAAATTACAAATTCAACCCCTTAAAATCCAAACATCACAAACAACTTTAAAAAAATGAAAATTGCAAACAATATTCTTAAAAACAAAAAATATAGAGATAATGTTCTTAAATTTTTAAAAATTATATACAACATCCTTAAATTAAAAAAAATCAATTAACCGCTATCCAAGCTAAAACCATTAAAAAACCCCTAAATTACAAATTTTGCAACAACCCCTTTATCCAAACACAAACTATAGTTACCATTTGAAAATTCTGAAGTTACAAACATCCTGTTAAAAAGCTCCAAGTTATGAGAACTCTCCAGTATCCAAAAAATTCAAGAACAATCTGAAAAGTTGAAAATTTTGAACAACACTCTGAACAATATGAAATTATAGGCAATACGCTAAATTTGAAAGTTACTAACACCTCCCTCCCCAAAAATTATTAAAATTACAAAAAAAACATCCTATAATGATGAATATTTTGAACAATCCTATTAAAAATCAAAATTCATAGAAAGCACGTTAACATTAAAAAATCACAAAAAACCCTTCAACAAACTAAAAATTTAAAAAACACCCAAAAATTACGAAGAACGCATTGAAGATCAAAAACTTTTCAGTAGTTAACAATCTACGAGTACACACTTCACTTTAAAGTTAAAAAACTACAAACAAATCTCCAAACATATAAAAGTTATGGAATACAACCAAAAATGTCAAAAACAAAAAAACAAAACAAAAGACACCCAGAAAATTAGAAATATTTGAACACTCTTTTGAAAAATCTGATACTACAAACACATCTTGTGAGTTTGGGAAAAACTTTTAATTGACAAAAATATCCTTAATCCTTTTCGGATATTATATTATGATCATATCCTAATTAACAAGAATGCATTTGATATCTATTATGATCTTGTCTTAATCGATAGAAATATTTTTAATAGGATAGAAGTTAAAGATATTTGTCCTAGGGCTTATCAAATTGCACATCATGATCATATCATATCATATCATCATACTACTTATAAAAGTGTGAGTTTGGAAAAAACTTTTCATAGATAAAAATACAGTTGATCCTTTTTGAATATGACATTACGATCCTATCCTAATTAACAAGAATGTCTACAATATCTATTATGGCATTATCTTAATTAATAGAAATATCTTTAATAGGATAGAAGTTATATATGCTGTCAAAACAGGAATATAATAATATAAAATCCAAATTAAAGAGTTAGAAAATTCAGGTCTGATCGGGAGCAGTCGTGATGTCACTGTCCTAGAAGATTGAGGACCCGTCTATCGCCCTGGCGCAATCTGTCCCCTCTCCCCTAGCGGTAAAAACCTCCGGAATCGACCGACCTTATGCTCAGACGAAAATGGTTGTCCAGAATATAAATATAAAATTGTAGCCGAAATAACTTGGGAGAAAAGAGAGTGGAGGAGGAAGAGAGCTGAGAAGTTGTTCTTCTCTTTGTTTGTGAATCTGAATGAGGTCTACAGCTGCTTATATAGGTGAGGAGAAGTGTAACTCCCGCTGAATCGAAGGAACCGTTACGCACGAATCTCGCTTCCGTTACCCGCATGCAGCCGTTACAAAACGTGTAATGTGCAAAATAAAAGCTTGAGAAGCAAAAAAGTGTGCGGCGTGGCGTGACGGGCGTGTGCGCGCGCGCGTGAGATAGATATGCAAAGCCCACAAAACCCAAAATATTATTCAAAGCCCAATAAGGAGAGAACCATTATATACCCTATACTATTCATCTCCTTTTCTAATGTGGGACTATTCACAAAGGCAAAATTGCCTTTTCATGAACAAAACATCCAACAATATATTTGTCCCAGAGTTTATCAAATTACACACCATGGAAAAATCATCATTATATTATACCCCTTATAAAAGTGTGAGTTTGGGAAAAGATTTCTATGAATAAAAATAGCCTTGATAGTTTTTGAATATTACATTGTGACCATATCCTAATTAACAAGATTGTCTTTAATATTTATTATTATCTTATCTTAATTAATAGAAATATCTTTAATGGGATAGGAGTTATGGATAACTGTCTTAGAGCTTATCAAATTGCTCACCATGAGAAAATTACAAAAAGCAATCTCATAAATAAGAAAACTGCAAAATCGAGCCCTTAAAAATCCAAGCATTATAAACAACTTTTTAAAAAATCTGAAAATTGTAAACCAGCTTCTTAAAAATTCAAAAATTATAGAGACAATGTTCTTAAAATTTTAAAAATTATCTGTAACAACCACTACTGAACAAACCCTGCATGCAATTTTTATAAATAGTTGATTCTTAGATGTGTTATGTCAATTTTGAAGATGGAACCGTAGCTTAAATTTCTTTTGGGATATCCTTCTTTCTAATGTTAGTTGTGGGCCTTTTTTGAATAACTGTTTTCTATGCTGGGCCCATACTTGACTATCTTTGATAGCCTCATGGATAAGGCCACCTGATAATATTAGTGATAATCTTGTTCGATTTTGGGATGAATCAATTTGGGTCAAAACGTCAAAGGCTAATTAAGACGTTCTCAGTTGAATTTTAAACAGAGATCCACAGAATTAATGCCCAAACCTCTTAACCAAATATTCCTAATTCTAAGTGCTTGTTTAGATTTGCGCCTAGTGAGGAGAAAATAAGGGAACATATGATAAGTTAAGCTAGGGCTTGTTTGGTTGATAGGAAGTATTAAAAGTAAGAAGTAAATCAAATCCATTACTTTTGAAACTATGAAGTAGGAAGTAGCGAAAATACTACTTTTTTATTTATTTCGTAAACTTTTAAAAGTGGAGGTAATAATATTTCTTCCACTTCATTAACTTTTTTTGGTAGCAATTATAAAATATTATTAGGAAGAGAGAAAGATGATATTTCGAGATTTTATTTAGACTGTAAGAAAATCCATATAATAACAAAAATGATTTTATTCTTAAATTGACTCAATTTCAGCTACTTATGAGGTATTTTTGAACCTTGATAGGAGGAAAAAGATTCAAGAAGTAAAGATGACATGTATGTGCAACTTCAGCTTCTAAGGAAATACTAGAAGTATCTTTTTCAGATAAACAAACATACTTTTATTCTTACAAGTGGCAGAAATAGTTCATATTTCCTCTACTTCGCCTATTTCATAGCTACTTCCATGTGAACAAACAGACCCTAAGGGCCCGTTTGGATAATGGAAGTATTGGAAGTAAGGAGTAGGTTACAGAAGTAACTTCTAAAACTATGAAATAAGAAGTAGCGGAAATAACATTTTTTTGTTTGTTTTATATATTTTTAGAAGTAATGGAAGTAGAACTTCTTCCTTTTCATTTACTTTTTTTGTTTGGATAATATTTAAAAATATTACTAAGAAGTAATTAATACATGTTGCTTCCATTTTATTCTTGTTTGGACTGTCATTGAAATAGAAATAGAATTGTTGTTGGGATCAAATTGAAGGTAAATGCTCAACGAGGACCCTGTGCAAGATGTATATGCCCGAATTCTATGTTAAAAACCTTGTATTATTAATTAAGGTCCATATTATAAAGCTCCCTGAAGGTCTCAATCAAATGCAAGTTGCTTCTTGCGATGCTTCTTATATTGGTCTATCATTGTATTCATATGCATGATAATGACCGTCTGATTAGCATCTTTTTCAGGTAACTCATATTCAATGGAGTCTCCGTTGAAACAAGAATATCCACATTCCTCCAAATTAAGCATATATAATCACAAAGATAGACCAATAATCCCATTTTTCAACATAATATATTTTACCCGCACAGACTATTTATCATCAGTTGGATTTAATTAAACATATTACATTTACCAGCGGTACAAGAAGATTGTCATAATTCACGCTTCAAAAATTAAACTACTAATGAAAAAGACCGTTAAACATAAAATTTCAATTATACGAATTCATACAGATTGCTACATGAAATCATTATATCAAGTATTGGACAGTCTATATTATCTCCTCTCAACATGGACTCTTCCATCAACGTGAACTTTAATTGGCTCCAATTAATCCCTCCTCTAATTATCTCCTCTCAACATGGACTCTTCCATCAACAACAACATTCTCACCTCTATTAGAGTCCCCAATTAACTACAAGGATACAGAAGTAAAATCAAGATGGTCAATATTCTCTTCGTCGTGCATGGATACAAAAGTCTGTTCTTTGTGCATGGCTACACTACCTACATAGCCTCATTGCCTCTATGCTTCATCTATGAATCCATGCTACAGAAATGATATGAATATACCAACAATTAGGCACAAAAAATGAAAAAAGAAGGGGTAAAAAAGAAAAAGAGAAAAAGCAACAACATTCACGAAAAATATATTGAGCTGAGAAAAAGAAAGTGCTATTAAGAAATAGCTGAAATAAATAAGAATCATAGTCTTATTGTAAGCTCAATTCATATCAAAGTCCAACATGCATAATTGACAATAAACTAGTATCATTAAGTTTAAAATAAAATAATAAAGTGCAAGCTCAAAGAAGACTATCCATACTAGAAAAATAGTTTAAATCGAGAACCATTTATTAAGGGGTGCTATCCATGTTTCTGAAACTAGTAGTTCATGTCTGAGCGTTGTCCAAAGTTGGTCGCCTACCTATCCTCTCCAACACGTTAAGAATCCTCTTTCTCTGTATTGGTTCGGGCAATACCATAAAAGCCTTCGCTTCAACTTCATTCTTGTAGTATTCATCGAAAACCAGTTCAAGATCATCTATGGAAATATCTTGAAAACCAAAAACCTTATCAGCAAGAACCTCAACCCAAGTTCGCTCCTTCAAACTAACAATGGCAGTGGCTACCTTTCCCATTTCCTCCACAAGTTTCTCACCAATAATTATTTGGGAGTCCTCCCTTTTCTTCTTCATTACTGGACGAGACGATTTACCGCTTACAGTTCCTGTCTTGATAAAAATGCTCGAAGGCTCCACTCCATTTAATTGTGATACACGAACTCCATCCATACCAAGACTATCTACAAGATCATCTTCGTCGATATTGATAGTTGGAATCTCTTTATCAATGTCAGGGTCATAACTTGTCTCTCTAAATTCTCCAGTAGCATGATCCTCCCCACAAATAATGCGAAGTTCTTCATATCTTGGAATTGGACAATTCAAATAAGGCTTGTATTTTGGATGTCTCTGTTTGTAAGAAAAATAGAGATTGTTAATGTGATATATCAAATAGAAAAGTTTAAATTAACTTGGTGGACAAAATTAAGATATTAATATACCTCGATAAGCTCAGCATATGTCGTAGTGTCAAGTGTAATCATCTTACTCTCTTCATCCCATCCGGCTCCATTAAGCTTTTTTGCTTCACAAATAAGTTTTCACTTATCTTTAAGGGTTCGTAAGTGGTTCTCGACATTGAATGTAGTATAATTTTCTCCAAAGATAGAATTCACATGCTCAACAGCCTTTTTGAAAGCAGGGGCTTTAAATGTCTTATACACTTTATAACCATTATTTGCAAGTTTACCAAGCAAGAAATTAATGCCTCAATATGTGGAGGTTTCCATTTCTTGTTACTAGTTCCCTTTTTCCCTCCTGTCAGAGTTTCTTTGTTCCCGGATGACTTTCGTTTCTTCCCTTCATTCGTATGTTTTCCATCTTTTGAAGGAGAATTAACCTCAATACTTGAAATTGAATTTTGTGTAGCATTATTCTGGGAGCTTTGTGATCATATGATTTGTTGGCTTAAATTTATGGGTGGGAACCCAATAGAAGTTCCACCAACATTAGCATTCATGAATTGTTGATTAGGCGAATCTCCAAGACGACCAAAAACATAAGGGTTTCCAAGAGCGTGTACTCCTTGAGAACGAGAGAAGTGTGGCGATTGTTGATCTAGTGTTGAAGTGACTTGAAAGTATCCAGTCCTGTTACCCCCATATGCACACTTTTCTATATTCTCCATCGTCCTGTGATATTGTAAATATTCATAGAGACAACAAGAATAAACTTTACATTATGACAATTAGAAAGCAAAACTATAAAATTATACATACATATATTGAAGCTCATCATAAAAAAGAATATATCAATAAAGAAATGTCAAAGATACACAAAATTTGGTTTCTAGTAAGCTTGATAATAGGAAAAACAAACAAACTTGTTCACTTAATGATCTAGCATATATTGGTGGTCTCAATTAAAACAATACAAAACACAAATACTAATCACCTAATCCAATTTCCACCTCATTCCCTTTCTTATATTGAGCGTAATATTCTGTCCACATAGACTTTGCTATTTCATCTCTTTTCTTTAACCAAATAGCTTGTGCTTCTTTCTGTTCCCTTTTGCTCAAATTGAGCATGCTAACGTCAGATTCTTCATTAGCAAATTCACACTCTCTTTCATCAAAAACTACATCTTCTGTTATGTAACGATCATCTGGATCAACTATCATTACATAATTATGTAGAATGCAACAAGCAATAACAATCTTGACCTGTGTTTGAAATGGAAAACCAGGCCTACATGTTAGAATTTTAAAACGATTTTTTAAAATTCCAAGTGCGCTCTCTATCTTTGATCGAAGTGATGAGTGACGAAGATTAAAAAGCTCTCGATGGTTCAATGGTTCACTACCGTCTTGCTCTTTAAGATGGTAGCGCATGCCACGATAAGGTGCAATAAAACCGGGCATTATCGTATATCCAGCATCGCAGAGATAATATTTATCTACAATATTAACATGAAACCAAATTATTAAATACTTCTTTTAAACTAATAAAATAGTTTATAATTTACTTTACATTTTAGTACCTTTTATCAAACGTAATCCCTTTGGAGGAGGCATAGACAATGCATCCCTCAAAACTGTAAAGTCATTAGCGGACCTTTCCCATCCAGCCATGACATAACAACATAGCTTATTATGTGTAACAACTCCAAGCACATTTTGTGTGGGACCATCTTTACGACCATGAAATCGAGCAACTATATTATCTGGGACAGACGCAGCAATGTGTGTTCCATCAATCATACCAATACAATTCTAACCATTTAAACATAAATAACATATAAATTTGCCATTTTATATTACATATTACCTTAAGAAGTATAGATATAAATGATTGAAAAATAATCCACTTTACCTCAAACCAAGGTACTAAGTTGATCTACAACTAATATCATCGGATACCTCACCACTCGCTTGCTTCATTAGTAATGGTCTCAGTTTTAATATTACCACGAGGACTACATTGAAGTGCCTACTAATAGTTTCGCCTGAATGTACGAAGTTTATACCAACAACCCTATTTTTTGCATTATGCCCTACTATGTGTAAAAACATAGCAACTTGCTCCTCGATGGAAACATATATGGTATCTTTAAGAAGTCTAGACTTTCGTAACATGCGAACAAGGTTAAAAAATGAACCTCTATCCATTCTTAAGTAGTCATATGTAAATGTTTTGCCGCCATAGAACAACCGGTAGATATAAGCATTTCTCAATGAATCTCTCAACTCGGTTGGTTCCCTAGGAGTTACTTCTCTTTTATTCTCAAACAACATAAAGTAAGCACACACTATACACGCCACATATGCAGCAAAGCAACTTAGTGTAGCATCTCTATCTTTTGAAGGTTCCATATTCTACATAAAACAAATAAAACAATGTTATAAAATTGAAAAAATTAGCGCACATGGTTATTATAAAAATTAACCAATTTATTTCTCACATCAACAAAAAATAATATGATTCTCACATCCTAGTAGCGTTCTTGTCTCTAAAATCTATTTTCTCATGCTCCCTACAAATTCTCTTTCCAATCAACATGCATCTGTGGGTGCGTGAGTGGTGGTAATTAATTCTGAAAAGTCATGCTCTAAAACGTGATGTTTAACAGACCATAATATGTTGATTACTGTTCTTTTTGTTGCCTTAATCCTTGGTTATTATTCACCTTAAGAAATGCTTAAACTATAGTAATACTAAAAAAAATGTACATTTGTATTCAAGGTCAAATTAGAAGACTATGTTTCTGCTCTTATTTTGTTAACATGTTACAATTTGCAATTAAAAGTGTTGAAAGTGATAACTCTATATACGGAGCATGTATAATTAATTTGTAGACGAAAAGAAGGAAAAAGAGATAACTTTTTTTTAATATCAAGTGGACTAACAATTGCATGTCATAGAATAAGAATATGTCTCGGAGGCAGCTCATATATTTGTACCAGATCACATTAATGATTATAGGGAACCATGAGAGAATTTGCATAGAAAATAAACTTAAAAAAGAGAAAAGGTTTTAGATGAAACAATTAGAAATAGAACAATTATCCAAAAACGGGGAATATATTCATAATTTATGAATGAGAGCTTACAAAATTTGACAATTCATGGTTTCGGCGTAGACAATGAGTATACTTGAGTAAAATTGAGTGGAAAGATTCATAACTGGTAACCAACATAAAAAAACCAAGCATTTGATCATGCATAATCATCCAATATTAAATACCTATCATTCCAACTATAGCTACATATAATGAGCAAAAATTTTGCAAAATAACTAGACATAAAGATCACCAACATTTTTTTTAAAAATAATCAAGAGTACCAAGAGAATGCACTCCATATTATCAAACTGAGCAATCTCTCTATCACCCAAAACACCTAATTTCAGCACAGATCACCACGAAGAAAGAGTTTCCAAGAGAAAGGTAGAGGCTTTTTTCAACAGCAATAACCTATCACAAAAATCCCCAACTAAACCCAAAGAACAAGCCAAAAATGAGAAAAAGTTCCTTTAATTTCCATCATCATCACAAGATAGAACAAGTCAATTCAAGCTTTGAAAAAAAATCAAGTGATTCTATCGTGTGAGGGTGTCGATTGCGTGATAAAGTCGGAGGAAAGTTGGAAATGGTAACCCTAAACGACGAGTTTTCCCCAAAGAAAACCTTCAACACGAAAATAGATGGATTTCGTACTTCTTTATTTGGATTAATTCGAGTTTTCCCCAAAGAAAACCTTCAACACGAAAATAGATGGATTTCGTACTTCTTTATTTGGATTAATTGGCTTTCATAGCCATTTCTCTCAGTTTTGGGAAAATAGATGGATTTCGTACTTCTTTATTTGGATTAATTGGCTTTCATAGCCATTTCTCTCAGTTTTGGTATGGAAATCGGAGAGGAAAAAAAAGGCTGAGCATGGAGGGGTTTTTTAGCTCAATTTTTTAACATTTACATACCTTTTTGTTGAAGCCTAGAGGTACAACGATGTAGAAGGAAGGATCCTTTTTTGCCACGAAGACGGCAGGGACTAGAACCGCGAGTTTGAGGGAACCACGAAGATGGAGAAGAGTCGGTTGGTTGTGAGGATATAGATAAGAAGGAAATCAGATCACTTCCTAATTATAGTTTTGAGAATCGTTTTTTTTTCTAGTGGACTCCACCCTACATTAACTTCCATCGTATTTCAGTGCATTTGAAAATGGAGAAATATTAAAGAAATGATGATGCCACGTAGAAGCCACATCATCATTTAAGGAAGTAGCAGAAGTAGATTTTCAAGAGAAACAAACATACATTTTTGCCTAGAAGTAGCAAAAGTAGCCTCTACTTCCTCTACTTCCGCTATTTCATAGTTACTTCCGTGCAAACAAACAGACCCTAAGTGAAGGTAATGGATACATAAAACTTGTTTGGGAAATTAAAAAGGAGAATCAATGTGAACTTATTTCACATCGTTTGGAAAGTCTAATAAAGTGAAGGGAATGTAAGGGAATATATGTAAATTTACATAAATATCTTACATGTTATTTCATCTATTTGAATTTTATCTTAATATAGGAGGTAAAAGTGTTTTTATGTAATATTCTTTTTATTTAAGGGCTTGTTTGGATTAGGGGTAATGTGATTAAAGGAAATGAAGGGGATATATTACCCTTATTTGGAAAGTCATTTGAGATAGTTAATGAGAGAGAGAAGTTAAGGTAATAGAGGGGG